ATAAGTGGTCATACGGTTGAGCGACGTAGCAAACTAGGTGAACGGGATAGCGAGGATTGTAAGTGACCCTAGAAGGGGACTGCATCTGGATGTATGTAGCTATTTATATATATTTTGATCTAGCGTGGGTGACCAAGCCCATGGCGAACCGGGAGTTGAAGCGCTCGAAGAAAAATCTGAATGACTGGCATGCACTGTTGTTTAAGAAGTGTCGACATACTCGCAACCATGCGATACTATACACCTTAATTATCCTGATGCCGTTGATAGAACTATTGCTATTTACAGTTATGGATTTAGTTTACCAACAAGACTTCCTGGTGGAGTTGGATCCCACCGACTTGTCGGGCTATAAGAACCCAATCGTCCTTAAGGAGATGCTAGTGCCAGCTGACGAAGATCCCCATGATTATTATTTGATCAATAACAGAAAGATTGCCGTGGCGTATGAAAATATAGCCATGGATGCCGGCGCCACAGTGATTTCAGTGGTGCAGGAAACCCTCTCGCAATATATATTGAACAATACTAGGCTGGACGAGGAAGGCTTCACAGAAACCTATGTGGCAGCAGCAACATTTGACGACACGATCAGGATGTGGTTCAATCGACGGATGAATCATGGAGCTGGTCTCTCACATGGCCTAATCTATAGAGCCGTCGCATATGCCATGGCCAGCATGGAAATCAGGATCGTTAATAAGCCTCGTGCCGATTCGGATATGTCAGTTCTACTTACACACAGCGATCGTCTGGCGCGCACTGATTCCAATTGCCTCTGTGCCTATCTGTGCTTTGCGGTCTCGGCATTCGTTCTGCTGCCCGTCTACGAGAAGACATCGCACTTGAGGCATGTCCAGATAATGAACGGCATTAGCCTGTGGAGCTACTGGCTGGCGAGCTTTGTGTGGGACTTGTGCATATTTATGCTGATTATAACAACGGTGCTTCTCTCACTATACCGTCATCCAGCAGATACCCTATGCTGGATATCCCTATTTCTGTTGCTATTCGGCATCTCCGCACTGATCTTCACCTACCTTCTATCGTTTCTCTTCAAGGACCCGGGCCGCGGAATGGCCTACGTGCTGCTTTTCTATTGCACTATTGGTAATTAACGGAATTTTTTCATGCATGACAATTTCGTTAATAGTTAATTGCTTTAAATCTTATTTATTAATTTGGTGTCCAAATTTTCTACCTTTAATTGATTCTATGCATCAAAATAAGTTAGGAGCATAGTTATATGTACTATGTGAATTGAAGAATTTTTAGCTTCCCTCAAATCTCAACATTTTGGACTTGAGCTTTTCAAATCAATCTTTCGTAGCTCCTTCAAAGGAACCTCGGTGAACTTTTATTATTTGTTTGCCTGAAAATCTTAGAAAGAGAACAATATAAATATTTCAATTTTTAATTTTCTACAAATTACCCGATTATGCTAAGGCCAACCGATTTTGATCTGGAGTCACTAATAGGTTTGCACTCTACTCTATTCTAGTGTTCTTGGCCGCCTTTCTCATCCCGCTGAGAAATAATGGTGTCTATAAGCATTTTCACAATCTGCTCATGATCCTGCCACTGTATTCCTTGTATGGGGCCGTACTATTCTTATTAACCAACAGCAGCGCAAATACCAATTGCCATGAGGTGGAACGGAACTCCTTTTGCGAATTGCACAACAGGTGCTGTGGTAAGGTTGACTCCAACTTAGTTGAATGCAAAAAGCATGAAACTATATCGTGAATATATCGGAGCTTTGTAATCTGTGCATCTTTCGATACTTTCAGATGTAGCCTCGCTGGATATATACAATTTCCTCGTCTGCCTGATCATAAGCCCAATAATATTTTTCATACTTCTGATGATGGCATCGAGAGCGCTGCCCCTGCGATATGCGATCAAGTTTGGTTTGGTTGCGTTTGCCACAAATAAAAGACAATTCAACATCCTCCACTTGAACTACTTTGCAGGTGTCGTTCCAGGGAGTGCTCGCTGCGGGACAACGATGATAATGTGTACCGTGCCCGCATGGATATCGACTTCTTGGTCAAAAATGAGGAAGAGCTGAAGGCCTGCAGTCTAGTCTGCCGTCGCATCACTAAGAAGTACCGGCGCTATGTGGCTGTCAACTGCGTGTCCCTGCAGGTCAATCCGTAAGTGCTTATAGCAGATCTTCTAGCTCACAGACGAAGATTGAAGATGGTAACGGCTAATTATGCACCTCTTGCAGATACGAATGCTTCGGCTTGCTGGGACCGAACGGTGCAGGCAAGACGAGCACTCTGGGCATGGTCGCTGGCATCAAAATCATTTCCGATGGCGACATCTACGTAAAGGGGGTCAACATTAAGAAGTTGACCAAACAGGGTCTATTGAACATCGGCTTCTGTCCGCAGAAGAACATCTTGTTGAACTATATGACCGGCAGGGACATGTTGAAATTCACCGGCCTGAGCTGTGGCATTAAGAAGGACTTCATTCCGGTCATTATCGGTAAATTGGCCGAACGCTTTGTGCTCACCAAGAGCCTCGATCTGAAGATCAGGCACTACAGTGTGGGCACCAAAAGGAAACTGAATATCGCCATGGCTGTGCTGGCCCACGCTCTTGTCTGCCTCGACGAGCCCACCACCGGCGTGGATATCAGTGCCCAGGAGGAGATTTGGGTGGTGCTCAGCGACATGCGCGAAAGGGGCAGAGCCCTGCTGCTTACCTCGCACAACATGCAGGAGTGCGAGAAGGTATGCTCCTGCTTGGCCATCATGGTCAATGGAAGCCTGCAGTGCTACGGCTCGGTGCAACAGATAAAGCATTACTACGATAAGGGCATCACTATCCGGATTCAAGTGGCCACCGAATTGGAAATGTTGTTAGGGTGAGCGATGGTAGCAGTATAAGCACCACTGATCCTGATCCTGACTCTGATCACACTTTTAGATCTGACGACTCTTCTTCGCACGAATCGGAAGTGGAAATCGAAAAAGAAGGTAGGCTACGAAAATGGGCCACCTTTGAAACATAGCATATTGATGAAATTCTGCATTATTCTTTTCAGCTAGTGAATCGACCATGAATTCTGGTATGTAGACGGTCAGAGTCTTAATGACCGATGGTAGGGTATTGTCTGAACACATATCTGTCCTTCAATTTTCAATTTCCAGAGGCTAGGTGGATGTCTAAAATGACGGTGTTGTCCACTGGAGATGATGTCAATACGAAAGGGACACAGACTAATATAAAAAAACGAAAGAAAGCGCCTATAACTGCGCCCATATCGACGGAAGATTCGACGATTAATGTAAAAAAATCAACCTCAACGCTTATTAGACAAAAATCATCCTCCCTATTTTCGAGAAGCTGGGCATATGATTCGCACATCAGTACGAATGACTTAACTGAATATGTTCAATTGATCCGAAATGTCGAAGCGAAATTCAAGGCAGATTTTCCAGACTGCTATATCGTGTAAGAGCTGTGCACTATATACATTTATATAACTTTCTTGCCAACCATCGACTAATCCCTTACTAATTTTAGAGAGAGTTACGCGTATCGTGGCTACGTGGTTATCGTAATACCCGACAAAGACGTCAAATGGTCCACAATATTCAGATACGTTGAACAGAAGCGGAATTCATTGCAAATCAAGCATTATTCGATTAGTGAGACATCGCTCGAGGATATCTTTATCGATTTCGCGAAGCAGCAGGATTCGGAATAAATTGATCAATCAACCAAAATTTATCTACTGATATAATTATGTTGTTAGCTGTTAAGCCGGAAATTTTTAAGTGAAATTAACCTTTTCGCACCTAAATACAAATTCAGTGCAGATCGTTGAACTTGCAGTCATGTACGTCTAGTGTGGAAAAAATAACTCAACTATATTTATCATTCGTGTCAGATGTGTCATGTTCTTTGTGGAATTGTATTAGAGTCGAAATGTAAGCCGCCAGCCAGCTTTGGACTCGACTTTGGACTCTCGTTTCGCATTAGCGCCGTCTCTTCTCTTACTTTATAAATATGCATGTCAACACAAAATTTCGGTACTTTGAACTCTATGGCTTCACTAAAACTTTCCACACACACACACTCACAGTCGCCGCTGTCTATTTGTGTGAGTAAACTGTCTCTTCGATTTATGGGCTAGATCAATTAGAGCTTGTCGCAGCCAATTTATAGACACACATTTCTGTTGCTGTCTCTAAACAAAACAATTGCACAGTTAACCCTGCGACCTGCCACGTCAGTCAATTGGCGTTTATATCGAACCTTGCACATATATGAACATGCGTTTCATATAGAGTAACAATATTATGAAATTGTCCATTCATGTCGAATCATAGAACACTGAATCGAACAACCTTGCTGATTGCGTAAAGTTCGCTTATCAAAATTCGCACGTATAAAGTTGATAGTGTGTATATAAACATATAAATAATAGTATGCAGCATATATAGTATTTCCATACACCTTCGATTCCAGAGCTATTATTCAATGCACTTGAACAGTTTGCAATTGCCTAAATAACTTTGGTGCATTCAGTGTAAATGCACAACAATATTTTAATAATCAGCAAATGTTGCTTCACATAAATATTTATACAAGTATTTTACTATATAAGTACAAACTTTCAATAACTTAAATTCAACTTTGTTCATTCGTTTCTTACACACGGGGGTCAATTGTATATATATATAGATGTATATGTATATGTATTGTGGTTGGTGTATAAGCATTTGGTACATTTTTAAAGATAGCACTAAAGAAACTTAAACTAACAAAAATTAAAACCCGCTAAGACCGGCTACTCCCCTGCACTAGAGACTCATGGCTGGCAGTCCCTAATGCAACGCCATAATTACTAATCCTTGAGGCTATTTCAATTTGTGGCATTCGTTACGTTCACCCACTGAATATCAGCTAGTTATTCCTACGAGGTATATAGACGTGTACTTAACACATCCTAGCTAACAATTAATATTTGTATATCTATATATATAGTTGTATGCTCTTGCAAAATGGAAGACGTAATTTGCGCCCTTAGCAGTTGATCATTTATAGTTATACGCAGGTATACAAGTAGGTCACACTGTTATGCACGTTTAGGTACGACAACTGCTGAAACAGCTGCTAGTATTTTTTGGCAAGCAATTCCCACAGTTAAGCTAATTATACTATGTCATTTAGCAATTAAAATAAATTAGATTTCGCTTATTAGATGGCCCCAGTTGCCAGTGTTAACTTTGTCAGCGCTTCGTCTGGGTTAGCATGCGCCTGCTTCGCCAGCTGTTGTCGTCGCCAGCGTCGCGAGAGAATCGGCGCAAACAAATCATAGTCCAGCTGCTTGTGGCACTTATCGAAATAGATTTGAGAGTTGTCCGCCATGTTGAAGTGAGTGAGCGTTAAGCTGGCACAGTAGCCGATTGCAATGGTGATTAAGAAGCCCAGCACACAGAACCACAGATATGATAAGCGATATAGCCAAAAGAAGTGCGGCTCTGCTCCGGACATCGTCGCCTGCACCGCTTGCGCCACTTCGGTTACATTTCTCAATTCACATCCGGTGGTGCTCAATGGCAGTGGTGTTGGGGCCGGCTTCGGTCCGCCAAAGCCAATCCAGAAGGAAAACGTAAGGCCTAGCAAGAAGCCCAGGAGTACGCCACGCTGATTCGTACGCACTGTGCACACGCCCAGGGTGAAAATGCCAAGCAGTGGCCCGCCCACAACGCCAAAGATTGTCAATGAGGCTTGCAGCACGCCACCCATCGAACCAGCGCCAAAGGCCAACAGTATGCAGAGCAGTCCGTAAATGCAGGCAATGATCTTGGTGGGCAGCGTTGACTGGGAATCGATGAGCGTACGCTTGAAGATGGTCTTGTACAGTGGCTTCAGATAGTCCTCCAGCGTAACGGCCGAGAGCGAAGTGACGGCCGAGGATACTGTCGACAAGCTCGCCGAGAAAATACCCGAAACAAAAAGTCCACAGAGTCCTGGATATTGACCTGAAGTAGGAGAAACAAAATCGTGAATTGTTTGATGAATCATTTTGCACTTGACCAAGTTACCCATTGTATCCACTGCAAAGAGTGGCATAAGCTGATCCCGCGATTTGATGCGTCCATTGAGCACAGGATCGCAGTCGCGGTAGTAATAGAAGATGGCCAATCCACTGAATATGGTGCTAAAGCTAAGCATGCCCAGAATGGGCAAATTCCACCAAAGGGCGGACTGGGCACTCTTTAAATTGTGCACACTCAGAAGCCGCTGCACCTGCGTCTGGTTGACGCCGTAGAGCGAGAGGTAAGTGACCATGCCGCCGATTAGCAATGACCACCAGGTGTGACGAACGGTCAAGTCCATTGAAAAGTCGAAGTACTGTACACGACCGCGCTCCTGGGCCACATCCCAGATGGCTCCCAATCCACCAGCTCGAATGGCCGTCACACCAATCACAGCAAAAATGGCAGCGAACATGAGGAACGACTGAAAGACATCCGTGATGAGCACAGCCTTTAGGCCGCCCAGCGTGGAATAGAAGGTGCACACGAGGCCCAGGACAAGTATGGCCGTGCCTCGCGGAATGCCCGTCACCGCCTCCAGTGCTAGAGCAGGCGCATAGAGTGCAATGCCCATATAGAGCACCATTTGCAAGGTGAATGCCATGGAAGCCGCCAGACGTGTCGCATGGCCGAAGCGTCGTTCCAGATATTCGTAGACACTTGTCGTGCGCATTCGATAGAAGACTGGCAGAAATATGTAAGCGGCAATCGGAGTGCTCAGCACATACGATATGTTTATGGCACCGAATAGGGTGCCGAACTGATACGACTCGTTGGAGACACCCATCAGTGAGATGGCGGACATAAAGCTGGCCATCAGGCTAAAGGACACCGGAAATGTGGTCATGCTCTGATCGGCCATGAGATACTCCTGTGTTGTCTTCTGCTTGCCGCCCGTATACCGGTAGTATATGCCGATCAGTGCTGATATTATTAAAATGCTCACCAACACTAGGGTATCCCATATATCAAACGTTCCAAGGGGCATTTTGATTGTGTGTATATTTATAATTATTCGGGGTTATTCAACGAATTTACAATTATTGATTTTTCACCCTGCGTTATTATTACACAGCACAGTTATTGACCTCCTTCACTGTCAATGTTTCTTGCAAATAATATGGAAAGTTTACACACACACGCATATATTATAGAAATACGAGAAAAATAACACGCGATTATAAACAAATAACCAAAAACAAAATGCGGATCAACCGCCAACACAACCACAATGCTTTGCCGTTGAATAACAACTGATTGACGAAAAGCTTTCAGCGTTGCCACCTGTTGGCGCAATTTTTTCCCTGCGCAATGTAAGCAGCTCGCAGCTGTTGCTGGCAAAACGGAGCCGACAATATCAAACACATTTTCAATTTTGCTGCGTATCAGCTGCAGAGCCACAAGACGTTTGTTTACATTTCGTAGAACAACTCTGAATTATGAAATTGTTTAGAAAATGCAAATTAAAATATTGATACATTTCTTTAATTTTTATAGATATGATAATACACAAACGTGTGTATGTATATATACACTCATGGTCAAATTAATAGGTGTGACCACTGACCAGAGTCTCTGGTCAGTGGTGTGACCCAAAGATTCTAGCATATTTTGGAATAATTACGGTATGACAACATCTATCAGCACGAAATTTTTTTTGTTAGGTATGGCCACACTATTTGATAAGAAAATAGGTAAATCCCCCCAAAAAATTTACTCGCTAAAAAGTTTTGGCTATTATACATTCTCTACCTCAAAATTGACCTGGTCACATTAATAGGTGTGTTTAACTAAACAAAAAATTATTAAAATATTAAAGTGTTTTTGAGTAAGCAAAGGTAGTATTATTATTGAATATAATTTGATTGAAGCATAAAAATTTTCATTTGCAACATTTAAATAAAATTAGATGGGTCGTGGAGTTCACTGCAGTGCTGAAGAGAGAAATCTCGTTCTCAAGCTTCGTGAAGAGGGTAAAACTTATAAATACATTGCCTCACTAATGGGACGATCGGAGAACTTCGTTACAAATGCTCTAAAACCAAAAAAAGATANAGCAAAATTTGGAGTTTTTTGTGAAGTATGCCAAAATTATGCTAAAAATTATTATTTTTTAAACTTGTTTTTTGTTGTTGTTATTCTATGATGTGTCTATTTTTAGTTACATGAAAAAATATAGACGTTATTCCCATTTAAAAAAAAAAAAAATTTCACACCTATTAATTTGACCATGAGTGTACATATATGTGTAAATATGTATGACGATTTAGCTTATACTTATAAGAAACAATATTCGCATTAGGACTTTGATTGTAGGCTGCATGTGCCCTGGTGACGCCGTTTATCGCGTCTTTTGCATTCATCGCTGCAATAGGACGCAGTGAAGCAGCAATCAAATTCTGCTTCCTGCAAACAGTGCTGACACCATCTTTTGCGCTTCACTGTCTTCAGCTCCTCCTTCATGTTCTCTAGTTCAGTCTTGCTGCGTGTCAGTTCCTCATTTAGGAACAAAACTTCTTGGAGCATCGCTTGATAGCCAACAAAAGGTTCTCTCATACCAAGCGATGGCAAAGACTGGGCTATATGCAATGACATTTCTCGAAATGCTTCCGACCTAACGATCATGGAACAGCGTCGCGTGGGCTGTATGCGTTTGGATGTTAATGGTGATATAGTTGCGGATGTTATTTTGCGTTTCTTGGCCGATGCTGGCGTGCCAGCACGTGAACGCTTAGCCGAGACATTCACATCAGCCGGCTCCATGCAATGGGGTAGTGCACGGTTAATAAGCTCTTCAGCTTCACGAGGATCCGCATAGAAGTTAAACAAATACATCGGCTGATGCAACAACATCATGTGACACCTGAGTTCACGCAGTGCCAGGTTAAACGTACGCGTGCTCTTCCACTTGGTGTTCAGCTGCGAAATGTCCGCATCTATTGGGAGTATATCCCGCGCAGACACCAAGGCACGCGAATGGGTGCCCCCGAAATATCGCACATCGTAGATATCGGTCCTCTTAGAAATCACGCGTATAACCTGTGAAGTAATGAATATATGATTACACATAGATTATATTTTGACTGCAGTTTCTACTTTAGCCGGCCAGTGAGGCGATCCACATTGCTTGGCATAGACGAGCTCGTGACGCTGCGTGCAGGGCTTGGCGAACCAGAATGGGGATCGATCCGATTCGTTTGAATAGCGATAGCAATCGGAGCAGCGGCGTATTTCACGTATATCGTGTGTAATGTCGCGCAGAAGCCATTTAGTTGCATTGTATTCCTCGCAGTTGGTGCCAAAGAAGATGCCAGTGTTATGCTGTAAGTCGAGCAGGTCAATGAGGAACTCGGACAAGTGCTTGTACTTCTTCAACTCAATATTTGTAGATATATCTGACAGGCCCAAAATGTCCTTCTGAAAGAGCACACTCTTAACAATTGTCGCATCGGGCTCGCTCCAATGCTTTGCCATATACTTCCGCACATCCTTCTTCAACCAAGTGTGGTGAGTTTGCCAGCTGTAGCCCAGCAGGCAGTTTAACTCTTCGATCGATACGTGTGGCGGATTTAACAGATCGGCCAACTTTAACAGGCGGCAAGGTGTGCACAGCTCTAGTTCGTCGGTGGCCTCATTTGGGGCCTCCTCGCTTTTGATGAATGTGCTGCGGCGTTTGCGCTGCCGAGCTGGTTTCTCACTAACAAAGAATACATCATCGGAGCTATCGGCTTCACGTTTCAGCGGATCTGGAGGGATGACATTGATGTTGCTATTGTAGTCAAGTCCGCACGAATCAGCTTGTGCTGTTGGCGTTGCTTGAGCAAGGGATGTTGGCTGCGTTTCCACCTCTTCTTCGTCGCACGAATCCTCCATATCAGACTCATTTAGTGGGAATCGATGTGGTTGTCCCTTGTCCGAGGGCACCGAGTAGTTAGGACGATGTGGATTTTTACGCTGACAGGCTGCATGAAAGCAACGATCACAGGATAGACATTTCTTTAGTGGCTCTGACCCTGGAAAGTGACACTCGAAGCAGTAGGGATCCGGTTTTAGTTCGCTAATTTTCTGAGAGAAACAAAGCGAAATACGTTTTCCTTTGGCACGCGTAGCTTTTCCCTTTGGGACTAAAATACCCTTCGTTATAGCATCTTCTACCGCTTGAGAGGCCTCATCTAAGAACAGCAAAGATATCCAAATAATATACAAACATTATGAGGCATCAGAACTTCATTTATTCTACACTTTCTACGTACCATCTGACATGGACGATAGCAAGCAGCGTTCCAATATTTTATTGGATACATATGCACCATTTTTAAGTTTGTGCATCCAATTTGGCACAGCACTTGGTGGGAAGCTGCTAACCATTTTCTTGATTACGAAAAACAAGTTTGTGGTTGCAGTGAATTCTTTCTATTTATTGTTTTTACCAAACAATAAACGTTTAGAGTTGCCAGATAACAGCATATTAGTTGCAGCTACACACACATCTGGCCACATTGGCGGCAGTCAGTGTTGCCGTTATGATATACTTTAACAGTTTATATTACAAAATTTTATTTACTTATTTTATGTATAATGGCATCCACGTCTTCATATTAAACTCTAACATTTAAAAAAATTTTAAGTTTTAAAAATCAAACATCTGGCAACGATGCATGCCAATTGAACCACCGCGTCAGTGTGGGTGAGTTTTACAGCTAGCGACCACACAGCAGCGGCAACAGCAGCAGCAGAAGCGTGTGGCCTTCGTGGAAGCTGCTAAAAATATTAATAATTGCTGCTAATCTAATAAGAGTCCACTGGTAAGCGCCTTCGATTGTAGATATATTCTTTCATTGCATCCACTGGATGCAGCGAAACGGAATACGGCCATACCTGGATAAAGTGAAATCATCATCGCCAGCGCTAGCTCACCTTGTCTCTGACGTACATAGTTGTCTAACCAGTGTTTAATCATAGCTAATTAGCGACAACGTCACACAATGCCCGCGTCAACATCTGTTATTGCCGACTTGTGCATATATCTACTGACCTGGAATGTGGGCACCCACTCGCCAAAGGACCTGTCGCTGACATCCATGTTGGAGCTAAATGGCACTACCAGCTGTCCACAGAACAAGCTGCCCGACATTTATGTGGTTGGCATGCAAGAGGTGAGCACAAATCAGGTACTGAACATCTTTCAGGATGATCCCTGGGTGCTGAAATTGGCCGGTGCGTTAAGCGAATATGAGTACGTTAAGGTAGAGTCGAAGCAGCTGCAGGGCATCCTCATTACCATGTTCGCCCAGCACAAGCACATACCGCACATGAAGGACATCGAGACAGATGAGACGCGCACCGGTTGGGGCGGGGTGTGGGGCAATAAAGGAGCCGTGAGCATACGACTTAGTCTATACGGCACGGGTGCCGTATTTGTTTGTTCCCACTTGGCAGCACATGATGCCAAGCTGAAGGAACGCATAGAGGACTACCACCAGATTGTGGACAACCACAAGTATCATGTGAAAGGCTACCCCCGCATCTTTGATCACGACTTTGTGTTCTGGCTTGGCGACCTGAACTTCCGCTTGTCGGGCGAGATGTCCGCCTGGGATATACGCAACGCTGTGGAGAATGAAAATTATGATGAGCTGCTGAAGCTAGACCAGTTGACGCTGCTCCGTGAGACGGGCAACGCGTTTAGCTTGCTGGAGGAGCAACTGCCCAAATTTGCGCCCACTTTCAAATTCCATGAAGGCGGCAACGAATACAATCTGAAGCGACGCCCGGCTTGGTGTGACCGCATATTGCATCGCGTGCAGGCGAACAGTTATCCGTCCATTATACTGAGCGCCCAACAATTGTCTTATCAGTCGAAAATGGACTATACGCTCTCCGACCACAAGCCCGTGACCGCGACTTTTAGCTATAAAATCGAAACACACAATTTGTCTTATACGGATGAGGAGCTGCATGAGATGACGCACGGGGCGGGCAGCACAATGTCAAATGTTAGTGTGTTTGGCTTTATCTTAATTGTAGTCTTTAACTCTGTATTTCACTTTTGATTTCACCTTTTGCTTCTCTTATAGCCATTTAAAGCCGAACTAGAAAGTTTTCAGTGATAAATCGAATCAAGTGTTCCCGCCCAAAGGCAGGCAAATGTGCAATCTCATATCTCGCATATCACCCTAAACCACAAGTGCAAATCAAATAATTTTACAATCGCATTACATGATATATTGTATGATGAATCTCAGTGGGGCAAAGCGCAGGCTAATCTCTCGACTGTGTAACCTCGTGACGCAATTATATACATCGCTCTATACACGCGTATAGTACAATTTTGCTACATATCATATATAATCAAATATATATAGCATGTTTAACTAATTGATGAATCTCTGTTATACTAAGCGAAGACATTGTTAAAGTTCTAAAGCTGTTGATTCAATAAAGCAATATCTATTTTTCTATAACCAACTTTTGGCTCTTCAATTTGCTGGAATGAATGTGAGTACTATCTCTAAATATATAGCAGATAACAGTTACCCAGAGCATTCAAGGCCTGTTGCTTTATTGCTATACAGCACATTAGGTAATGAATTTTAATTATATAAATAATCAGTCGTGATATGAGGTCATTTACTTTTTGTTAAGAATATGTGCATATACTCTGCGAAAGATTATTATATTACTATCAAGATTAGTAAAAATTTCTGTCCTCTTGAACTACAGTCCTCAGAACTACAGATTATCAAAAGTTAGAAGCATTAGTTTTCCAAAATTGTTAGGAATTGTTATTGAAGAGAAAAAATACACACACACAAAATTCACTATATAACAATATTAAATGTTATATAGATATAGTGATCCAAAAAATTCAATATATATATAAACTTTCACAAGAAAAACTCCTCAGAATCAAAGTTGGAATCCAAAAAACGTTAAACAGGTTTTAAAAGGCTTTGAAAACTTAACGTAACTAGAATAGGAGAAAAATAAATAAATAAAAATAACACAGAGTACCAATTATTATTTTACATTTCTGCTTTGTTTTTATTTTTAAATATTTAAAACCACATGAGGAAGACGTACAAAGGAGTTTACATACTAATATCGTTTTATAATATACATCATCTCATAAATAAAATCCCTGTTTATTCTTTATAAATTTATTTTAAATCTCGTTTTATGATTTTTTGATTTATCTCAAAAGCGTAAATGTGTTATTCACTTGCTATTTAGACTTATCAAGATTCCACTGTATATTATGTAGCCTTTCTAGATAATTTATTTAAATGTGTATTTTTTAGTCACTAATATTTCATTTCGTATAACGCGTTTAAAAATTGTGTATGATCTGAATAGTAGATATGGAACAGTACTTCAGGTCATACGATTATAATAGAGTACATTTGATTATTACTAGTCATTTATAGTCGTATAATTGTAAACTAAATTTTAGTAAGCAATGGTAAGTAATGTGAGCCATAATTCATTTATGGTCGATCCGTAATTCCCACCTACCTTATCGTTTATCTATGCAACAAGTGTTTTTGGGTAGCATTTTAGCGATGCGTCGACAGAAATAATATAGATACATGTATCAGTATGTACATATATCAAAATTGACTGTCGTCTGCTAAACGAAACGAGCACACACAAAGGGCAATATTTGATAGAAGGCTGACGAAACCAGTTGGTTTTTGGTGATTTTTATGTTTAAATTTTTCATTTTTTAGCTTGATCGCTTACGAATGCTTGAACAAAACGATGGTGTCGAATTGCTGTACGCCTGTTAGCGTTATTCTCACAGCAGATACCGGCAGAAGCTTAATGGCTTTGCTGGTGCGCCCGGCCTCGGCAACTGCTGTGCTATGGGGGTTTTTCGTTCTTTTAATTTGCTGATTGTATTAGTTAGTCGTCGTTGTAGTACTTTGGAATATCGAGGACTTGCAGTGTCTATCTGATTTGTATACACACGTGTCGCAGCCTCGCAGATTCCACTATGGCTAATAATTGTTTTGAAAATTGTGCAATTAACCGCTTTAACGTGTTGTATAAACACAATAATTTGATTTTTCAACTTAGATTTTTTCAATTTTGTTTTTGTAGCTAGTCGATAACAATCCGAGGGAAAAGTCCCCCTAGTCATAAATAGATGAACAAGTACATAAATCATTCAACTATATTACCGTGAAGATAATGAATTGTCAACAGTTAAAAGTGTTACTTTAGCTGAATTCAAAACGGGCCCCACTAGAAGAACACGCCCTCCAATAATAATCGGAGCAATCAGACCTAACAAAGCTTATAATGTTTCCAAATCAGCGGGAACCCATGAAGATGGTATTGTTCGCCCGACCGGTGATTTACCCTCAGAGAAAACAAACATACCGAAAATCAATTTACATAAAACTTTGTTTATCTAATATCTTATACAAAGCCAATATTTGTGTTAGCCAAAGAGCGCGCACAGCCTTGGGAGCTGAGGGTCGCGAGCCGAAACTGAAAGCTCTTCTCCACGCAGGAAAACTATGTGCGGGGTATGTCCGCAGTGTGTTTATTCGACGTGCAAATAATGCTGTTTGTAAACAAACTGGTTTCGAGTAGGAAATAATTATCAGCTGTTTGTGAAAATCACGCCTGGCGACTGCTGCTGATAGGCAATCAGATGGCTGAACTGCCAAGACTCTCTCCACAGAACAAAAGATGTATTGAATTTTCCTCATGTCAATTAAACGAACTATTCCAGTGCACAGATATAGTAATTCTGATAATTCAAATCGCATTGATATAATTTATGAGCAATTCATAACAACACAGATAAGCAACTCTAAAAGAAAAACCCATTGTACATATGTGAGTGTAGATTGATTACATTTTGAAGAATGTCTGTAAATGGGTATTTTTTTACTTTCATTAATACTGATATTCATCTAACGGCTTTATTCACGGTCTTTTCTTATCAACGTTCTGCCGACAAACACGATTGCGAACTAGAAGCAACACCTGAATTAGCTACCATCACCTGGCTTTAGCTCGCCGAAAATAAAAAGCCCCGCGCCGATCGCAACCGAACGTTTCGGATGGTATAAAAGGCGACCCTCGGGGCCGGATATCGCTCAAAGCACAGCCAACGATCGGCCAGGCAACACGCATACCAGAGCGTTAACAAAACACACATGTGCATACATACGTATATAATATATCAGCAAAAAGCACCGCGATTGATGAGGCACGCGCATAAGGGAGTCCCCTAAAAAGAGTCGACACACACACGTCATTCTTTTGAAAATTTGACTACGGAAACAACAACAACAACAGCAACAAATTGGATATACACAAAAAACATAGATTAAGCAACCAGCCATAAAATCAATGAACTGTAAAACGGTCTCCACGGCATAGTGACTAAATAGTAGCACAAAAGTGGCGATAGGTGAATTGTTTATTTTCGCCTGGTGATTAACAGTGGAAAGATACTGATTTCTACACACATACACACATAGAGTAATCATGGGCGTGCGAGTAATTGAAGCAGATTCGGCGAGCGATTCGTATGATGATGAGGAGTGTCCCACATGCAACACGAACCACAAGAGCAAATCAAGCAGCGCCAAGCGTAGCACCACGGAGCCCACGAATATCCACTTGGGCAGCAAGGATCTGGTTGGCAACTGCAAGGAGTACCGCATAGAGAACAATAGCCGCGATCTACGCATCATTGGCAACGGGAATCGCGTGCGCATTGTTAACAACTCGGGCAGTCTGCACATCATTGGCAACGCGACCAGGCTAAAGATCCAGCACAATGCTGGCTACATCAAGTATACGGGCAATGATGGGCGCATCTACCTGGGCAGCGACTCCCAGCAGCAGACGGTCGACTACATTGGCTGCAATGGGTTGCTGAAGGTAGTCAACTCACTGCAGTTACACGGCAGCAGCAGCAGCAGCAAGTCCAACAGCAAGCGCACTCCTCGCTCCCAGCCAAAGGTGGCCAAGGATGCGCCGCCGCAGCCAAACAAAGCGCCATCTTCGCCACGCTTAGGCGTCGAGATTGACAACAATCTGACCATAATCAATGGGATCGCCGGCAACATTGTGATTAAGAATGCGATAAATGTGAGCATTTAGGCTCGCCACGCCCACTCCTCTATCTCAAGTCCAAAGTTTAAGCTTAGCAATTTGCCTGCTAGATTTATAGACACGATGACCAGCACGCATGGTTCCTATTGTTATATATAAGTATATTAGCATTAGCTATCTGACTGCCTAACGTGATTTTGTCATCGGGCATTGAAAAGTATTATACATCACTTAATAAGTGTGCGTATCTTCACAATACATTCATCATATATGCGTAACTAGCCTATTTAATTTTATATGTACATATGTTTATGAAGCAACAGATATTGATCATTCTATGAATGATCTCCTTATATTAAAATATTACATCATTCTAAAATATATTGATTTCCTATTTCCGAGAGCCCCGTTCATTCATGTAAATTACCACACAGTGCTTTCGGCGTACCTATCAAGAGATGGGATTCACAGTGACCCGAGTGGATTTTCTGTCGAGTTTCCTAAAAGCGAGGTCTTACTCATATCATGGCCTGACCAATGTCAACTTGTTGTTGTTCACAATGACTTGACCCACTTTGTTGCCAACGACAATGATAACAAAAATACCCCGGATAAGAAACTTAGGTGCGATTGATGCCTACTCATTAAACAAGGCATATCACTAAATATCATACCAGTTTTTTTTTTTTTTTTTTTTTTTTATTAATTGTACTTGCGGTTGTATTTTTGTCGAAAGTGTCGAAAAACGCTCGAGTGTCGCAATGAAATTATTCCGGGGGATTTTTATTTCCAGTGCACGCATATAAAGCAACTAAATTAACAACAACAATTAATTATATAAAGTAAGGCCATTGTTTTTAAAATCCATTGACCGATAAGAATAATATTAAATTTGTATTTTTCACCTTGAATAGGAAAAGAAAACTTATCAACATTTTAGGCAATCTGATTCTATAAGCGCTCTGCGATTTGAAAGTTCGATGTAGATAAGGTAATTTTTATCAAAAAGCGAAGAAAGCACAATTGACATACACGGAAATATATGTATGTACTTGGTATGGAGCAGTTAAATTTGCAAATTCGTATGTAAATACAATGTGTTAATGAATGCCTAAGTAAATTTGCATATGCGTATGTACATACATTCATATAAAAACGAATACACAGCCATATAGACGTCACAGCTGGTATTCATTAATATTATACGAGTACTGTAGCCACACGCCATATTAACATGTATTTTATTGTAATATTAGGGAATTTCTCCAATTGTTTCTTAAATGCATCAGCTGATATTACCCCACTTGATATATGATCTCAAACCAAGTATTTCTATCATTCCATAAAACTATACAGCAGTTTATTGTTATGCAATGTGCATAGATATTACACTTTATTCACTTTAAATAAAATTGCCGGATAAATGATCAATATGTTTGTTTACAATAATTACTGCGGGCTGAATATCTCATTGTTGTGCTAAAAGTAAAACTATCGTTACTAGTTATGTTACCATTAACATAACAGTGCTGCACGATATTCGTGTGATACGCGCTCTTTTTTGCGTTTGCGTTACGTAGTACGTAATTGCGTCATGTTATTCTTACGTTCGGCAAGTACGTTTGACGCTTCGCTCGCTAAATTACAAACATTTTGCGACATTTAAAAAATAAAATCATGTTTGGGGCCGCACAGACGACAACGAATCGTATGAACGACTTCGAGGTAGCATCGCCACCAGACGATTCTGTAACAGCACTCGAGTTCAGTCCAAGCACATTGCAAGTGCCAAAGAATTTTCTCATTGCCGGCAGCTGGGACAACAGCGTGCGCTGTTGGGAGGTGGAACAAAATGGAGCAACCGTGCCAAAGTCTATGAAAACGATGGGAGGGCCAGTGCTGGATGTATGCTGGTCAGACGACGGCACCAAAGTGTTCATGGCGTCATGTGACAAGCAAGTAAAGCTCTGGGATCTCGCCTCCGATCAGGTAATGCAAGTAGCTGCCCACGACGGGCCGGTCAAAACCTGCCACATGGTCAAGGGTCCCAATTACACATGTCTTATGACAGGCAGCTGGGACAAAACGCTCAAGGTATGCTGCTCACAAAATGATAGCCCTAGCAATTTGTATATAAATGGTCGATTTTTAGTTCTGGGACACGCGCACACCAAATCCGATGATGGCCATAAATCTGCCTGAACGATGCTATTGCGCTGATGTAGACTACCCCATGGCTGTAGTGGGCACTGCGGGTCGTGGTCTAATCATCTACTCGTTGGAGAACACTCCCACCGAGTACAAGCGACAGGAGAGTCCGCTCAAGTATCAACATCGTACCATATCCATATTCAAGGACAAAAAGAAGGCGCCCACGGGATATGCATTAGGCAGCATCGAAGGTCGCGTCGCCATACAGTATGTGAACCCAGTGAATCCAAAAGATAACTTTACATTTAAGTGCCATCGCTCGACGGGCACCTCCGGATTCCAGGACATTTATGCGGTTAATGATATTGCATTCCATCCGGTGCATGGAACTCTGGTTACTGTTGGATCGGACGGCACATTTAGCTTCTGGGACAAAGATGCACGCACCAAGCTGAAATCTAGCGAGGCGATGGATCAATCCATAACGAAATGTGGCTTCAATGCCAATGGCCAAATATTCGCATATGCTGTCGGCTATGACTGGTCCAAGGGACACGAGTACTTCAACCCCGCCAAGAAGCCACAGATATTCCTACGCTCCTGCTACGACGAGCTGAAACCACGCGCTAATTGATCAGAAATCGAAATCGATTTTAGTTTAAGCCACACAAACATGTTCTGCGAGTAATATCCAAACATGTTGTTTTGTATCATTAAATATCAAAGCGTATCCTGATTTGCATATTTATTCAACTAAATCACTTAATTAAAGAGCTTGCTCTAATGATCCTTCTTGTCGTCGTGGCCATGTCCATGTCCATGGTCACCCTGGCCTTTGCCGATTCCCAGGGCATATTCAACAGCGATGGTGGCGAGAGCTGCACAAAAGCCGACACCGAGGCCACGGAACATAAACGTAGCCAGGCGAGAGCCATGTGTGCCAAATGCCTTCTTTTCGTAACGCCAGGCCTCATTCCTACGGCAGTAAAAAGTAGTTCCGACACTAATATTTATTATATATTCAAGAGCTCACCTCAGCCATGGGTCGGATAGGCCCTGGCGGCCAAGCGCCTCTTTGACTTTCAACAATTGCGGCACATTCTCCACCTTGTAGCACGATGGATGTGGCACCGTGTAGGGCTCTCCGTGACCATGTCCACCCATTATTTATTTCCTGAAATTATAATTCAGTTTTTTTTTCCTATAATGCCAAGTGAATTAACATCTGTTAACCTAGCGCTGAACATTACATAAGTAAGTTCACGGTTTTGTCGCTTTTTAATTGTTATGACAGAGCACACAAATAAAGAAATACTATAATATCCTAAGCTAAGCTATATTATTTCAAAATATCATATACGCAATGGGAAAAACACACAAAATGAATAAAATTGGTGAAATACACACTTTTGTTGTCACAATATGAACACAATGTTAACAGACTTCAGTGTTATCGATAATGTTATTGTGAAATGTACTAAATATTGTCAAGCGCATAGCAGCTTGTTTACTTTCAGCTTTTCAAAGTGTGGCAACGCTTGATTTCTATAAATGAATTCAAAAAATTTTTGCCCGCGAATCACCATTAAATGTATCTTGAAAGTAAAACAGCAATAGATAATTTTATTTATTGACATATTTATTCATATTTTAAGTTTATTTTGCAATCAGTAGAACATTTGTAATTTTTAAACGTGCTTAAGTGAAAATATACATAGTTTATTTATATCTGTATTTTTTTTTAGTTTTTTGTTTGTTTTTGTATTCCATTTAATTCTCTAGTTATACAATAAGTAATAGTAATATACATGTATATGCGTTTTTTTTATTAAAGATTAATGTTAATAGAGTTTCACTTGCTCCTCTCTCACTTTTACAGGTTAACTGCGATTGCTACTATTAGAAGGGGAACCTTTGTAAAACAAAGATGAAAAATATAACAAAATACTGTTCTTACGCTTTGTCATTTGCATTGTATGTATGTATTKTAATAGCTAGGTATAAAAATGCACGTCATGCATGCCAATTGTTTAATTTAAAATACAATACATATATATTTTATATAGTTGCTTGTTTTTATACTCATTTCTCTCAAACTTAAAACACCAAAGTCAGAACGCAATTTGTTTTCTTTGTTCTTCTTTCTCATTCAGCGCTAGGAAATGCAGAAGGCTTGAACAATCTATCAATATTTTAGTAAATTTACCATTAAAGTTGTTACTACTTTTGGAAGATACACTTGCAAATAAATTGTAGATATTAAATTTCGCACACTCAGCAGATCCTAAATAATATACATATGTATGAACAATTGTCAGCTTCGTACGTTTTGCTTTGCACTTAACGTATGTTTTGTTTTTGCTTAAAAATGTTGGCATTGAAATCTATATTTCTTTTTTTTTTTTTGCTTTCCTTTTCTCTGTTAATTTTTCCTTGTTTTTTCTTTTGTATTGTTTGTTTGCTTTTTTTTTGTTTTTTTTGTTAGCTGAATCACATTTCGAATTACTAAAGATTAGTTTCATAATTTAACACATGTTGCTACAACAATTTAGGTAATTTTTTGAAATCAAATTGTACTTTTTTTTTAATTTAAATTTTATTTTTAACTTATTCTCCGTCCCCGCACGCTAGCTGTGAGTGGGCTCCGCTGGAAGCTTCAATTGGGGCAACTGATACAGATACTCTCCTCGGCCAATATCTCGTTGAGCAGGCGATTGAGGCTGTCCAGGCCAGTGAGAAAGCCGCCGTCCGGTCCATGGTGGACGGGCGCGGTGGCTGGCGGTGTGGGCAACATGCTCCCGTTGCGCGGCACAAACGCCGTGTGGGCGAAGTCAATGAGACGCACGTCCACGAAGCAGGCCGAGTCGTCTGTGGGCGGTGCGGACATGTCCAGCGACTTGGAGCCATGCATTAGCGCCGAGTTGCGAACCGCAGTTGTGGATGATTTTGGCTCGCTCTTGGTGTTGTTGTTGTCGCCCTCGGCACTGGCGCGTCGCTCCAGGGAGTCGAGCAGAATGCCAGCGAGCAGCGAGTTGGATATGTTTTCGCAACTGCGCTGTATCGCCGACCCCGTATGTGACTTCGATGGCGAGGAGACGGCCGAAACGGGCGTGGATGTTATTGTCGACTTCTTGGCCTCGCGGGAGTCGTCGTGAGCTGCGTAGTGTTCATCGTCGTCCTTGCATCGCAAACGCTTCACAGCACCCTTCACTGATTTCAGTGACGATGCGCTGGAGGAGGCGGGCGAGATAACCGACTTAATTGTGGCACCTGAATTGCCAGCCGTGTGGGGCGGCGAGGTGAGATCCACGCTGCCGGCTGTTGCTGCTGCTGCATCGAACGATTGCTGTGACTTGTACCGCTTGAACATGGCCTCCGTGGGTCCAATAATGCTGCTGTCATAGTCTGAGCTGCCGTCATCGGAGCTGTTGTTGCCTGTGAAGTGGGAGCAAATCATGAAAGGATGAGAATTTTCCTCTAGGCTTATGGTTTCTACTAGTTCACTTACATGTCTGTCGCCCGCTAGCCACGGCCTTGATTTGCTCGGATAGGCCAGAGAAGTCGTCGCTGCTGTTGCTGCTGTAATTCATCCAGGAGTCTCCGGAATGTGGCGATGAGGTGGTCACGCTGGGCAGCGTTGGCTCAGGATCTAGGAATACTGTCTCTTCGGATATTGGAATGAATGCAGGTGTGGCGCTGGCATTGGCATTGCTGCCCTTGCCGCCGGCCACCGATTTAGTGGGCAGGACACCGCAGCTACGTGGCGGCGGCATGGCGGACAAATGCGAGTGCGAGTGCTGTGCCTTGTTTCTCTCATCGTCTTCGTCCTCCTCCTCGTCGGTGGTGGTTGAGGAGCTGGTGGCCGTTTGCTTGACGCCACGTGCCGCCGCCTCCGCAAAGCCGCGTTTGTGTAAATGACGACGTGTGGCCAGATTCAATCGCGAGTTTGAATCATTTGATGCATCCGCATCATAGTTGCAGCCGTCGGCACCGGTGCTGCTGTTGGTGGCCGAGGCGTTGCCGCTGTCAACGGCCGCCACCAGTTGCAAGTCCTCATCCGTATCGTGCGGCTCCAGTTCGTCGCCTGCCTCATTTCCCGCCTCATCGTCTTCAATATCATCCTCGTCTATGCTGTTCTCCGGGTGATAATCGAAGGCAGCTGTCGGCTGCAGTGTCGCCGACTTTGGCGCCTCCAGCCAATCATCCAGATCCATTGAGGGCGGATGTGCCATAGGATTCTCTTCATAGCCTTCGTACACGATGAGCAATGAGCTGTCAGAGAAAAGAGCAGACTCTTAGTATATCTCTCGACTGGAAGTAAACCACTTTCTGCCACTTACCAGGAATAGAATCTGTAACTGGACTGCTTCTCGATGACGCGTCGCAGCTGCAGCAGTCGCTGCAGGATCTTGCGTATGACGCGAATGCGCAACCGATAGCCGTTGTAGAAGAAGTCATGCAAGGCGGTCTTGAAGCCCGCCTCGTTGAGCTCGCGTCCCCAGTACTTGTCGCGCTTGGCATACTGCTCCAAGTCCGCCTGGTAGGTCTGCATGCCGCAGAGGCGGACGCCCAGCGAACCAGAGGTGCTGGCCGCGCACTTGGCCATCTGTTTGGATCGCTTCTCTGCGGACGCATCGTCGCCGTGCTGCCGCGTTCCCATCTTCAGGTCCAGAATACAGGGATTGCGGAACTGCGATGTGATATTCTCGAGCATCAAGAAATCTGTGAAGCGAAATTCGCACGGATACAGAGATTAGTTAGGATGCCTCCAGAGATGTAGCATTGTATAAACATTATTAAATGGGGTTTTCTGTCCAAGTCCCGGTCCCGAGCCATGGCACAGGATACTAACATTGCTTATTGGAGTTGTCAAGTTGCGAAATGCTCTTAATAACATCGGCCGCATTTCCGTTCTTATGCACCTTCATTCTGCAAATAATCCAGGCGAGATGTGTGGGATTAATATGGAATCAAGCGAGACAAAAGTACAATGCTGCGAACCCCTTATAGATGGCACAAATGAGTGACCTAAAACAAAATAAGCTGGAAGTTTTCGTTTCGTTTCGTTTTTCTTTTTCCTTTTTCTTTTCTTTTTCTTTTTCTTGTGCTTTACGTTTGTTACAGGACATGTTCCGTTCCATTGAAAACGCAGTGGCGCCATCTGGCGGCAAGTAGGCGGCGCAGAAAAAAGTGTTGAATACAAAAAGTTCTGCAATAAGTTGTATAACCGTTATCGTTTTCAATGGAACCGATCATGGCACAGTTTCCAATTGGATTGGCCATAAAAAAAAAATCTCATACACATAGAATGTTGTAATATTTGCATACCCAATACCCGTAACAATGTCTGACAGGGGCGAGTGCGTGTTTGTTTTTTGTATGCATTGCACAATCTAAAACAAAAATAAAATTCATTTCCATTTGCTTGGCTGAATGCTTCAGTCATGTGAGATTTATATACATACAAATATATATATAAATATATATAGTATATATAAGGTAGTGTGTGTGTGGGTGTTTGTATGTTGTGTGTGTGTATGTTTGTGTGTGTGTGTGTGTGTGTGTGTGTAGCAAGGTGCAGGCTGTCTGACTGTCTATGTCTATGATGGACAAGACTTCGTAGTGCTTCTACATACCTGAGTACTTCATCCCGCTTGCGCTTCGAGGCACTCATCTTGCGCACTGGCACCGCGGCCGCATCGTCCCGGAAGCTGGGCGAATAGCGCTTGTCCAGCTTAGCGCCGCCCATGGTGGTTGCTTGCATAACGCCTGGAAATAGAACGGGACCGGCGTGCGATCAGTTTTTGTGTCTTCTTGTTTCAGTTAATTTCATGTTTGTTTATTAGCTCTATTTATGTAGTGTGTATGTCAGTTTGTTCTTGAGTTAAGTTGGTTAGAATTACGCAAATGGATGAATGGGCCTGACTTATCAAAGATATGTAGTTTAGTAGACACATCAGATGGATGGATACATCGTGAATGAAACAGACGAACATGACGAGCCCCAATTAATAAACAAAATTGCTAGAAATACTTTAATTTACTTTAATTTGCTCTCCTCTTTCTCTATATGTATATGACATATACATATGTATACAGACCCGATGTAGACTGTGTGCTTTGGACGATTTCGGATGGACGGAAAGCGACATGATATACATATAGAAGGAATTATGGCTTATGATTATAATAAGATTAAGACCTAAAGCTAGTTGAGAAACAGAGTGCAAGACTTAGGCAATCGATCGAAAAACATTGTGCATAAATCCGAAAAGTTTTCAAAAATTTGGTTGATATTCTTTTCTTTTGTTTGTTAATGGTGTTCTAGCTTAAACCATAAGAATATTTAAATATATTTGTACTTAAGGAACTGAATAGCTTAAGATTTAGTTTGGAAAATTAAGTATCGCATAAAATATACATAGTATATAGTAAAATATATATATATATGTATGTATATATAGTATGTGTTTTATTCATACAAACCCGTTGAGGCCATATTGCCATTGCTTGCATTTCTAATCGGCTTTCGTACTGAGAGTCTCGGAGACGTTCAGTTCCAGAGACAGACAAAGCAGAGCAGAGCGGAGTGCTGAGTGCTGCTGAGAGTAGAGAGCAGAGCAGAGCGGATTAGGATCCGATCCGATTCGATTCGATTAGATCGGCAAAGGCCTAGGGACGAAGGCGACGACGATCACACATGACTTTAGCTCAACAACAACAACGTGTACTCGTTCGTATATTCGTATTCGTATTCGTATTCGTATACGTGTTCGATTTCGTATTCGTATTCGATTTCGTACAGAGGGTCAGTCAGCACGATGTCTGTTCTGAACAAACACATAACGAGATATTGGAAATAAATGGCATTTGTTGGTTGCTTATAGATTTTTTACAGTTTACGCTTTCATTCCGGAGGCAGCTCTCCGATTGGGCTCATTGATTGGTTCAGCGGCAGATCACGAGCACGAGGTCTGTCAGTGGGCACTTCGAACCTTTGGATAATACGAGCATAGAGCGTAGATATATGTGTAAAGGCCCCAAGCTACAGGCTGTGCGGGCGTGCATTTTAATTGTATTTTTTTAGTTTTATTATATTTCTTAGAAATTGTATAATTTTTGTCAAACAAAAATTGTACAATCCTTTGAGCTGGGTGCATTTGGTCAAAGGTATTGTTTATTTGTGTTTGTTCATAGTAGATGCATATATGCATATATAGTTGCATATATATGTATATATACGTTGCTGGAGAAGAGTTGCTTTTTACTTTGTTTACTTTACGACTTACCCATTGCTGTCACTGCGCTACTAACTAAAAGTTCTTATGTGATAAAATGCAAGTGTGTGCGTGGAGCTTTAGTGGCCAGGCGCTTGGACTACTTCCAGGCGTCGAGTCAGACAATAAGTGGGCATGGCAGCTATAATAATTTTATTTCGCTTTTTGTATTACAAAACTTTAATAGCTATAATTTACCTATTAGATTACGATATGGTTCAGTCTTATTTCATTTTTTTTCGTCATTTTCATTTTTTTTTTTTCACTTTATTTTCTTTTTTTTTTCAGTCTGTTTTTATTTGTCAATTTTCCATAAAAATGCTTACAAACTACGGATATCACATATAAGAATATAATACTTAAAATAAAAATGATATTGAAATGCGTTGTTGGCTTTAACTATGGACAATACAGAAGAGCGCATAAATTGTTAATGTATTTATCGATTTCGTCTTTTGAATATTAATTTTTATTATATTTTATTTTCTTGACAAATGCGAGTTAGTACAAAGAAAAGTTGAATACAGCATCGAGGATTTGGAAAATGAAGACAGATGGTAATATCATATAATATTCTTTTTTTTTTTTTTTTTTAATCAATTTTTTATTTGTATTTCTGTTTTCTTTATTTTCGTTTTCAATGCATGATAGAACGAGCAGTTAATTCATAACGAAATATATTTATATGTATGTCACTTTATGAAGCGCTTCGATAGAATCGATAGTCGATAATCGATAATCGGTGTGGTTGGGTAATAAGAGAATATAGTCGGTATCTTACCTTTGTACTTGGGCACAAACTTCTGTACGTCCTGCGGAATGTTCTGATAGAAGTCCAATTCACGCAAATTTAGCGGCTTGATCACCGTTGACTGGTTGAGCAGCAAAAGGCGCGTGTGTCCTCCCACCTGAAAGCACAAAGGATGAATTAATTAATTGACAATCCAGCGAGWTTATGAAACTTATAGAGAGCAACAAACATTATCATCATTGAGCATCAATATTAAGCGCTTCTGTTTTCGTCGTATCAGGGTATAGAAATGTTTACGGAGATCTTAAGAGCAGTTAGTCGCGGGGTCATTTGTTTAATATCTTATCAGAGCCTACGTCATGCGATGCCTTGATAAGCAGCTGTTGCTTTGTATGCCAGTGTAATCAATCCTCGATTCTAGTCTTTAATCTTTACGAGCTTTTACTTGTCAGCCAGCGCTCAGAAAAACATTCAACAATCGGATTGGATATATGGCCCGGGTCCCATGATGGGTTTATGTAAACAATAATAGGCATATATAAATGTGATTTTGAAAGGGCGAGCGAGAGAGTAAGATAGAGAGAGAAAGAGAAGTTGACCTGGTTGTGGATGAATAATAAAAGTTGAAAGAAACGAAAATGATACTAGATCAGCTGAAGATGAAAGTGGGCGAGTTAACAGAACTCAAAACTCGTTTGAAAGATTTGAAAACATAATTGAGCAAGATGACATAAATTTAAAAGTAACTTAAATAATATATTGGCAATATTATTTCATTTAATACTTGCACAAATGGCAATTGATTAAGTGTGTTATTCAGTATCAGGGCTCCCAGGGATTGGGTTGAGTGTCAGGTGTTATCTATGCGATGCAATCGATTTATTACAATTTAAAGAATGGACTGCAAGATCTCAGGCCACAAAAGCAAAACGTCACTAGACAATCGGCTGCTATTAGAACTGATGTTAAGCGAAATTCAAAGGAATTTAATGATAATGTGCCAAATTCTCGTCTGCCAAAGTTAGCCACACTTTACAACAGACGAGCTTCTGATAAGAACAGAAAGTTTTTAATCTGGAGCACCGCGGATAAGAATCGAGAGAGCAAGATCAGAAAATCTAAGAATACAAGAGCCCCATCCACTGTCACCCCTCGAGGTAAATCTGTTGTGCAATCGCATGACAGAAAAAGTAAGTCCAGAGTATCCCACGTTAAGCCGACTAGGGCTCGAGCGGGTCCAAATATGAAGGCCCCCGATCTGACCAGTGGAACGACCAAAACCTGTGATTCAGACCACGAAGGCCGACTTATCATGAAGGAGAATTTTCGCTTGCACGTGGATAAGATGTTCAATTTGCTATTTTCGAGCACATCGACATTCTTCTTAGAGTTCCATGATAAACGGAACTCCACGGATATCTGTATTGGCCCATGGAAGAACGGAAAGGATGGCGAGCAGGTGCGCAACGTCAATATGACCGTTGCCCTCCAAGCAAACGTCGGCCCCAAGACCTCCAAGGTCAATGAGTACCAAACTCTGCGAGCTTGCAGCACGCCCGGGCAGCTGTACTCCATAGACGTGGTTAGCGTTAACGAGGGCATACCATATGCCGATGTTTTCAACGTAACACTGCATTACTGTCTGGTGCGTGCTGAGAACAATGGCACTGATATGCTCATCTTTGGCAATGTCAATTTCATCAAGTCGACCTGGGCGGTGGTCAAGGCGTTCATTGTGAAGCATTCCTACGAGGGCCTAACTGAATATTTTCAATGCCTGCGTGACGAGCTACAGAAGCAGAAATGATTGATTATCGAAGAATACGATCCAAGCTAGACGGGTCTTGCTGACCCTGGACATTAGCTGAATCCACATTCTTGATAGATACAATGTCTCCGACATTGTGTTAGCTCAATCTGATTTCAGGGGGCTCGTAATGCTCGTAATCCAATTAAATAAGCTCATCTTGTTATTTATGTTTATGTTATTTATGTTATGTTACTTATTAATATGTTGATCTTGAATTTTAGCCAGTATAAGGTTCGGACTCCTTCATTCAGTGTATGCAACGTATATATCTATGTATATATACGATTTTCGTTTCAAAAAGTACCGCAACTTTTGTTTTTCTTTATTTTTCTTCAATTTCAATTTGGTCTCCTTCAAAGTAATCCCCATTGGATATTTGCACACATGTGCCAATGATTCTTATTCAAATTCACTGTTGATGCCGTCTTTATAATGAGATTCGGAATCGAGCGAACAGGGGGGAACAGATTTGCTTTACACGCACGTGTAAGCTGTCAATAATTAATCAAATATTTAATTATGCATTGAGCTCTCCATTAACTCCATCAACAGAAATTGCTCCTCCCCAGTCAGAACATTGCATTATCATGCTATTAACAGCCGCTACAGCTGTTAATAACATAAATTCCAGACCTAGCCGTAGGCTTTCCCCTACATTATCACAGACATTGCCATTAGCTTCATAAGGGCATATTTTTATTAGAAATTACCTGATTGGAAAGCGGATGAAGTGCGACCTCATCCTCGTTATCCAGGAGATCCTTACTGAGCTGTGTTGTCTTTGCCTTGCTGCCGCAACTATCGGCCGTCGATTGCGAGTTGTTCGACTCGGAGCATTGCCGCAACCAAGACGAATGGACTTTGTGAGCGGCACCAGAGGCGGGTGGATGAGAGTCGATCTGTGGCTGCTGCTGTGTTTTGGTGGGCGTGTTGCAGGCGCTATTGTTGTTGCCGCCGTTGCTCACCGATAGTTGCTGTAGATTGGCTGTTACCAGGCTGCTGCTGCTGCTGTTGCAGTTGCTGTTGCTGTGGCTGTTGATGTTGCTGTTACCACTGTTGCTGCTCCTTGTGCCAGCCACATGTTGCTGCTGTAGGAAGCTGGATCCGCTGGCGAATTGCAGCTGCGATTGCAGTAGGCTTAGGCTATTTGAGATTTGTGCAACCAGCTGATGTTGCTGTTGTTGTTGCTGCTGTTGCTGCTGCTGATGTTGATGTTGTTGTTGTTGCTGCTGCTGCTGATGTCCATGGATGCGCTGCTGCTGTTGTTGTTGTATATTTGGAACATGCTGCTGATATGACGACAAGTCAGAATCTCCCATGCCCCAATCCCCCAAGAAATATACCATTCCCTGCCGCGCGAAACAGTTTAACGAGTTACACTTGCAGTTGCTCTTCTTCTTGTTGCTCTAATTTTCCTAGCTGTTGTTGTTGTTGTATCTGTAACGAGAAAACAGAATGACATTACAATTGGGTTAAGCAAGCGTCAAACGATCGATCAAATGGGGACCCCCTCCCGGAACCGGTTCTCAAAGCACGCAGCACACATTCACTTTGCACGCGAATCTCATAGAGCTCATGCACTTGTGCATTCCATGCGGATGTCGGATGTYGGATGTCGACAGGCCGGGTTCAATGTCATTTCCTCAACGGAACGAGACATGCAAACTATATGAGGCTCTGTTCCGGCTAACAATTATTACATCACTCGATGATAGTGCAAGGCATTTAATCAGCGCTCTTAGCCTATAATATTGTAGGCACTCTTTAAGTCATAAAGAATGTATTAGTTAATGTCGCAGTAGTTATTCTAGATCCTAGCCATTATTTGCCGATTAGGTGAGAGCAAATGCTTTGTGTGCTCAGCTGAGCCTACCATAACAGATAAGTCATTGATGCATGATGATGATGATCCGATGATCTCACATCACGCATTCTACGCTGGGCAAAGAGCGAATAGAGCAAATTAATGAAGCGTGTGGTTAATTGATTCCAATTGAATTGAGAAAAGCCAGACGTGAATCGTGAATAGCGAACTCTGATTGCTTTTGTGGGGTCGACCCGGCGTGTGGCGAAGATCGGTCATTGATACTGAGGTGGCTGGGGCTAGCTGGGGCCATGCTACAGTTATCAATTGGGCAAATGTTAATTAAGTTATCGTTCGGCAACTGCAAACAACTTGCGAAACTCGGCAGCATCTACAAATTGCACACAAGCTAAGGCGGGAAGCGGCCCTGTCCGGGCGATGCAAATACACGGATTGTACGGCATTAGCACATTAAACTGCAGACGTCATAAAATAGGACAGCGAGCACACCGAATGCTAATGCACATTTGCTACTGTAACATCTCTATTTGCTTATCTGTCTGGGTGTATCTGTATCTGTACCTGTATCTATATCAGGTGTTTGTATCATTCATTAGCTAGCAAATATGTGCATATGGCTAATTGCGTTAGACGGCAGCTACAGGCCAGACGGCGCGACTATAAAGCTGTTTTATCGCCTTGCCGTTGCCAACTATTATAGACTATACTTGAAATCCATATACATGTGCATAGATAGCCTCACTCTACTGAGGATTTTGCCTTAGATAGTTTTATTTAGAGGGGAATCACCTCTTATATATATGTATGTATAATGTATATATAACTGTATAATGATAAACGACTTCTGTATGTCCGTAATCGTCGTGTCATTAACATGAAACAGTCAACGATCGGTCATTGTTCGCGTATCTGGCGACTGATCCAAAAAGTTAATATTGTTTTTGTTGTTGATGTTATTTGTTCGACTCAATGCGACGCAGCGTTCACTTATCTTCTTGACTGCTCAAATCCATAAGCTACTGCACGTCTTTTTTTGGCAACTTATTTTTAAAAACTTGGCTATTATTAACAGCGCAGCAAATACGTCAACTCAAGGGGTTGGCAAAAAGAAAAATAAATAAACACATAGACCACAACAATTGTTGGAACACGGAACAAATCGAAGGCCTTAATAGTTCTAAAGGCCTATTCAACCATTTGAGCGGTGTTAGTGCATTTAATTGCCAAGTGATTATAGCGAAGCAGAGAGAAAGCGTTAATTGCGACTCAGACTAAAGGAGGCAGAGGGAGCAAGACAGAGAGACAAAGAGAGGGAGAGAGAGAGAAAGAGAGATAGCATTCAGCTGAGTCAGACAAAAGCACGCGATTGACAATACAGACAGACAGACAGAGGGACAGACAATGAGACATACTCATGGGGCTATCCTTATCAACAGAGACCTGGCTCGCGCGTTCAACCCACTTTAACTGGGCCACAAGCAAATTTCGATTCACGCAGCAACAACAAAAAAGCCCCAAAACGAAAGTAAACAAAAGGCTGAAATTTCCCATGCTCCACATGGCCGTTTGTGTATATAATATATACATACATATATGTGCATCTTATATACACACATATATGTATGTGTATGGCCAAAAGTGGGTCATAGCTTAACGGCTATCGTTAATTAAACAGCTGTTTACGGCCACACGAAGTGCGTCTACCGTTAGCTAATTACAAACTGCACTTAAACTGACAATATAAACAAAAGCAAAAGCATAGCATTGGCATTTCAATTATTGCTAAAATTCAAACGCAAAAAGAAGAACAACGCAAATCTGAATGTCCGGCAGCAATCACAAAAAAGCGACAGCAAATCGCATATAAATATGTACAGTGGCTCACAGCTCAATTAAACGTGGTAAAAACTAATAGAGATATACCAAAATTGACATTAGTGTAATTTTACGGCATAGAATAATAAATGGTGTTCATAGCAAATATTAAATTTCGCTGATTTTTAATAAAAATATACATTTAACATAGTAGTATTTAATCTAAATCTAACGATGTTATTATAAGACACAAGGTTGATAATAGAGCAAAACATGTTTAGAGTTAATATAGCACAGCTTCAATAATGCTTGCTTATCTTTGATGTGTGAGTTCAAATAAAATGCGAAATTGCTTTTGTTGACTTTTGGGTTCTTTATCACTATAAAATGATTTAAAAAATTAAAAAATGAATACGCTCAATTAAGTTTAAATTTTCTAGAAGCCCAAATTTATTTTAAGGTGCTGCTTTCAGCATGTTTTAAGCCACTGTACATACATATATACGTGCATACATTTATTACTTATAGGGCTGTATGAATTATACTACAGTGAAAGCTCTGTGGAGTGAACAACTACTGAAATTCTGTATTGTTTTCAAGTTTTGCTAAAGATAACATTTGTTTACTAAGATAAGATAGATAGCAATAGTGCATATTATTATTTTTCCATTACTTTTATCTTGTTAAAGATAACTTTTTCCATATTATGTTTCCAATTTTAGTCAAAGATAATTGCATTAATATACAATATTAAATAAAGCATTCATTTTGACTCTGACTAGCTTTTGCTTTGCAGCATAGACACGTATTTCTGGCTCCAAAGAATGCTCGTTTACCGTGCTTGGAATTTTGTATTATTATGTATTTATGTTAAAAGTAGAAAATAGTCGCAATAAAATTGAAATTGCCTTCGCGCATATACAATATTTCTATTTATTGGGCGCCTGCCTAGCTCTTTTTGGCATTCGGCCGTTCAGGCTGATACGAAATTCGGTGCAAATTGCTAAGCAAATATTTATGAAATTCATTTAACACTTAAGTAAATAAGCAGTGTTAAGGCTAAAGCTAAGCCACCACGCATTGAGCTATCATCGCRAAATCGAATGATCCAAGAGTTTATTTATTTATGTATGCCCAGAAGTGAAAATAGACACGAGTGATTGTGATCTGTGTACCTGTAAACATGCACATGCATGTAAATCAACGCCTTGTTCATTTTATCGCTGCAGCAGGCTCATAGTTCATGTAAGGCGGAAAATTTTGAAATTAGAGCGCGTGTAAAAGAAAGGCCTGTCCTAGGCAAAAATAGTCTACTTATATATTAATACTCTTGTACATATATACATATGTATGTGTGTATGTATGTATGTACGTGCGGTGGCTGATAACAGACTCTGACAGACGAGAGTGAGCTGTGAGACAGAAGAGAAGTGAAACAGTAATATCAACTAAATGAAATGATGAAAAATGGCAAACACAGAATATATGGTACATGGAACACGTACAAATATTAATTAAGGTGTTATTAATAAAGGGAATTCCCCTTTGACGGACTTCCTTGAACACCTGGAACATGAATGGTAATTATCTTATCTAACAATTCAATTTGAGAAATCACAAGAAGAACACGGAATATATGTATCTTTAAATACCTGACTCTAAGTTGTGATTGCACACACTTACGTACGTATGCATGTATGTATGTACATATGTATGTGAATTAACATACAGACATACTGAATTATTTACTACGCATTAAAATGTAGGAAAAGAAAGCCACATGTGGGGCTATATACGCAGCTATAAAACGAATGTGATAAAATAGAGCGAGTGCAATACAGAAGAAACTGCAGCAAAGTGAATGTGCGAATTATACACTAAGATACAGTTATTAGTCATGCATACTGAGAGTTTTAGAGCCAGACGAATCTGTCTGATGATCACATAATAATAATGTATATTAATTTATTATATATAGATGTTTTTAAAGGGGAATTCGTCGAAATGCGCGGATTGAATTTGGTTTTTTTCTTTTTGGCAGCTGCAGCGGCGGGCGACATTAAATTGAAACGGGTTTCAAGTCAACAAAATGTGTTAATAATTTATGCACACCAACACTAATACACACACATTCAGATACTCGCTCGCTTGATTATAGATTTCTCATATCAAAACAAAAAGCAGCTGTGGAACAGCAAAGTTTACGTGGAACTGGCTACAGTAAAAGTAATAATAATAAAAAGAAAAAAAAGAAAGAAAAAACAACTA